CTGTGGGTGTGGGACTGATATAATGTTCTTCTTAAAGCTTCTTTTGAATAAGGTGACCTGGTTGGCTCAGGAAAATCCAAGTTTATGCCTATTATCCTGACTTCCTGTCTGGTTTGGCATTTTTTCAGGATGTTATTAATATTTGCGGGGGAGGAGAAGGCGTTACTTCATTTCTCCATATATACTGTATATGTCTGTCTGGGGAACTTGATTGTACAAAGTGAATTTCTGTGTGGAAATTGAGATTATGTTGCCTAATTTAGCAGATAACCATAGGGAAAATAGGCTGAGTTGCCCATTCATTGCTTCCAGGTCTAGGTAAAAGAGAAGAGGCAAGGATTGGAGAAGAAGCCTCTTGAAAAGTCAGGCAGGACTTTTCTGATACTCTTGACTTTTCTGCCCCAAGGCCATATCCTTAAGTTAAAGAGAGACCCAAACTATTGGGGTATGTTGGCTGAAGGCCCCAACTTCTGGGGAGGAAAGAAAGCACCGTTCTACCCTCTACCCACAGCAGGAGTTTTCTGACATAGGGAACAGGCACTGTTCTACTGGGGTGCTAAGGTAATGGTGGTAAAAAAATAGCCGATTCTAGCCATCTAAAATATCTGCATAAGGCATCATGTTGAAAAAGACTCTAGATTTGGCAAGAATGAGAGCCGTCATTGATTTGGGATGTTGGCCACGATTCAGGATCAGAGAGCGTCTGCACACATCTCAGTAATTTCCCATTTCTGCACTAACAAGAAAAGCTTTCAAAAGGAGGAACAAAGAACTTAAAATGTTTTTGCTTCCACATGGCGTGCCCTATTGGATCCTTTTCCTTTTTGGATTGATTATGACTGTAACTTTAGTTGGCTAAGAAGGTCCAGGGGCCATCCTAGCTTATGGGACAGCTCTCTCCTACCATTAATTTTTTAAGGGTGGGTAGGGTGGGTGGTTTAACCATATTGAACCAGATCTTAGGAAAACAATCTTCTCATTTATGCTCTTTCCCTTGGGTGTGTTCTTCCTTCTTTCTGCTTGTAAGAATGATAGCTCTTAGAATGAGCTAGGATGGTTTTTCATGTAGGACTTAGTCCATTCAGGAACACAAATTTGGTCCTTATAATTTAGACGTACCTCATCAGGCGGTAAGGGTTGGTACCAAAGCTCCCTCTGTACTTATAAACCTATTTCCTCTGACCAGCTTTGTCTATTTGTACCTTGCTCATAGATCCAGCAGGACTGGTGCTAGACTGAGGTGGGCAGCAGATCAAGGACTCACAGATTTGAGGTCTCAGCAAAATATCTTGCCAACTTATGACTATCACCAGTAATGCATATTTTCCTAGAGATGTAGGGATAAAGGCAATGCATATAAAGTGCCTGGGACACAACTGACTGCCATGTAGTTAACTACTACTATTATCACTATAATAATGACAGATGTCACTTGGAAGACCAAATCTTTCCTTATCTGATTTGATTTTGGGTCAGAGTAATAAGTCTTGGTATGTACCAGACAGGAGAGTAACTTTCTTGAGAAAATATCTGGACAACAGCAAGCAGTGCATGTGTCCTTTAAAGATCCGTTGGTGAGAAATTCAATACAAAGCCCATCCTAAACCTCATTGTTCAAGTGAGTGCTTTGAAACATAAATGGAAATTTTGACATTAGCCACTGTGCTTCCTTGGATTTGTGCTCTATGTGCACATGAAAGTCGTTCAGTCATATTCAACTCTTTGTGACCTCATGGACTTTACAGTCCATGGAATTCTCCAGGCCAGAATGCTGGAGTGGGTAGCTGTTCCCTTCTCCAAGGGATCTTCCCAACCCAGGGATCGAACCCAGGTCTCCCGCATTGCAGGCAGATTCTTTACCAGCTGAGCCACAAGGGAAGCCCATGTACTTTATGAGGTTTTATTGTTATTTTTTTTTTAAAACAAATATTCCAGAGTATCTCCAGATAATGCTTGCTCATCACTTGGCTGGGTTTTAGACATACACAGACTCCAGATGTGATGTACCCAATCATTAGGAAATTTTGAGGCTTTTGATAAGCTATTTTCAGGATGGTTAGAAATTATGCAATGGGTATGCTTCCCAGATCCTTCCATGAAAATAGTCACCTTACCAGTATGGTGGGACAGTGTGGATGAAGTAGCTCTTCGGAATTAATTGGTTCACATCATTAAAAACAACTAAAAATATAGGATTTGCATATTTTGGGTAAGTTAAGTTTATACACTGGCTATTGATAGGAAAGGGAAAAAGCTCTGTATTGTGAGTATGTACATTTTCAAGATATGCCAATAAAAATGCTGAAGACCTTGTTCTCCAAGGGGAACTTTGGTAGATAAGAAAGCTAGGGGAGGTGGCCAACCCTGAGCTGTGTAAATAAATGCTGGGCCAAAGATGTTAAAGGGTTGCTGCTTTTACAAGGAGGGGAGGAACTCAGAAATGGAGGACTCAAAAGCATGGGTGATGCTGTGATCCGGTAGCTAGGAGGGAGGACCAAGAGGGCGCAGTGTCAGCCCAAGGATGCACAGTGTAGTTTCAAGGTTAATTAACATGAGCTAAAAGGTGCAAAATCACTGCAGATGGGGACTGCAGCCATGAAATTAAAAGACGCTTACTTCTTGGAAGGAAAGTTATGACCAACCTAGACAGCATATTAAAAAGCAGAGACATTCCTTTGCCAGCAAAGATCCGTCTAGTCAAAGCTATGATTTTTCCAGTAGTCATGTATGGATGTGAACGTTGGACTATAAAGCAAGCTGTGCTCCAAAGAATTGATGCTTTTGAACTGTGGTGTTGGAGAAGACTCTTGAGAGTCCCTTGGACTGCAAGGAGATCCAACCAGTCCATCCTAAAGGAGCTCAGTCCTGGGTGTTCATTGGAGGGACTGATGTTGAAGCTGAAACTCCAGTATTTGGCCACCTGATGAGAACTGACTCATTTGAGAAGACTCTGATGCTGGGAAAGATTGAAGGTGGGAGGAGGAGTCAACAGAGGATGAGATGACTAGATGGCATCATCGACACAATGGACATGGGTTTGGGTGGACTCCGGGAGTTGGTGACGGACAGGGAGGCCTGGCGTGCTGCAGTTCATGGGGTCGCAAAAGAGTCGGACAGGACTGACCGACTGAACTGAACTGAACTGAACGGGTGTACAGTGTCAATGTCTGCTGTATCAGAAGTTGTAAGTTTGGAAGGTGATATGAAAAATGGGATTTGGCCAGGGGAACCATATATACTCTAAATTTTGCCTTCCCCAATTATCAATACTTTGTTCCTTAAGAGGAGTTCAAGGAAGACAGATATGGTCAAGAGTACCAAAATATGACATTGACCAAGACTTCAGTACTAAAATCTATTGTAGAATTCCAGTAAGCTAGGCTAGACCATGTGAAGGAATCCCTGTTTCTAATCAGAACAAGCCATATGATTAGTTACCATCTCATTGTATCTAGGGAGCTATCCCATCTAAAGTAGATATGCCTGTGAATACTGGTATTTGTGTCAAACTTGGCTGTCCCTCTCAGGAGTCTTCCTGCTCTGGGTCCATCTAGCATCTGGCTCTGCTATTTCTCACCAAGGAGAAAACTGAAAAACAGAGAGAGGAAGCTAAAGGGAGAAAGATTTTAGCTGACTGAGGAAGAACTTTCTAATGGTCCAGCTCTCCATGATGGAAAGATTGCCTCTGAAGACTGTAAGCTCTCTGTCTCTGGAGGGAAACTCACCAAGACTGGTCAACTTTTATTGGAAATGCTGTAGAAAAGTTGAGAAAGAGGATAGACCCTTTCCATTTTTGGCATTATGACTCTGAATCACTTTACTCCAGGCCTCATCTTTAAAATAATCCCCGAGGTCCTATGCTGCTCTGTAATAACGACAGATCCTTAAAAATGCTGTCACATATTTTGGTGCTTTGCAGGTGAAGAGAACAGAATGAATAAAAGCTTGATAAACAAAAACTTAGGGAATTCATTACCACTAGACCTGTCTTACAAGAAACACTAAAGGGAGTTCTTCAAGCTGAAATGAAAGGACGATAATTAACAATGTAAATCATATGAACATATAAAAATCAGTGATAAAGGTAAATACATAAACAAAGGCAGAATTGTCTAATATTGTAATGATGATACATAAATCATTTTCAACTCTAGTATAAAAGAAAAGCATTAAAATAACTATAACTATAATAATTTGTTTTTCATACACAATTTAAAAAGATATACACTGTAACATCAATAACCTAAAATTTGAAGGGACAGAGAAATAAATGTATAGAGTTTTTGTATGCAAAGTTAAGTTGTTCTCCACTTAAAACAGGGTAACTATTAGATATTTTAGGTAATTCTCATGGTAACCAGAAAGGAAAAACCTGTAATAAATACATAAAAGATTAAGAGTGAAGAATCAAAGCATACCAATACAAAAAGTCATCAATTCACAAAGGAAAACATCAAGAGATGTGGAAAGAAACTACAAGACAGTCCAAAAACAGTGAAGAAAATGGCAATCATAGGTGCTACCTATCAGTAATCATTTGAAACATAAGTGGTCTAAATTCTTCAATCAAAAGACACAGGATAACCAAATGGGTTTTTAAAAAAATGATCTGTTATATATAATAAAAACTCACTGTAGCTTTAAGGACACATACAGACTGAAAGTGAAGGGATAGAAAAGATAATCCAAGCAAGCGTCTACCAAAAGAGGTCGAAAGTGGATATACTTATATCAGACTCAATAGTCTGATACAGAACAGTCAAAATAGTTAAAGACGGTCATGAGGGGGCTCCCCTGGTGGCTCAGTGGTGGAGAAGCCGCGGCCACTCCTGCCAGCGCAGGAGACAGGCGTTTAACCCGGGATCCGGGAAGATGCCACGTGCCGCGAGGCGCCGGAGCCCGCGCGCCACAGCTCCCGAGCCCGCGCTCCGGAGCCTGGCAGCCGCGGCCACCGCGCCCGCCGTCAAAACCGCCGAGGCCCACTCGCCCTGGGTCCTGGGCCCACAGCCGGAGGAGCCGCCGCAGCGAGAGGCCTGAGCGCCGCCCCTACGGAGCGGCCCTGCGATCAAAACAGCGCACACACCCGGCACAGCCCAAAGTGAAGACATGCGCAAAGATTACTCTTTAAAACGGTTATGAGACTTCTAAAAAGTCATTATACAGTTGACCTTTGAACAACGTGGGTTTGGATTGAGTGGGTCCACTAACATGTGAATTTCTTTTACCAAATACACTACAGTACTACACGATCCACAACTGGTTAAATTCAGTGGCTGCAGAACTGCAAATACGGAGGACTGCCTATAAAGTTATAGGCAGACTTTCAACGCTACAAAAGGTTAGTGCCCCTAACACTTGCATATTTTAAGGGTCAACTATATAATAAAAAAGGGCCAATTCATGGAGAGGATATAACAATTTAAAATATTTGTCACCCAATATCAGCACACCTAAATACATGAAGCAATATTAACAGAACGGAAAGGAGAAATAACAATACAGTGATAGTAGGGGACTTTATTATCCCACTCACAACAAGGGGTAAATAATCCAGATAGAAAACTAATAAGAAAGCAGCAGATTTATATAATACTATAGATCAAAAGGGAATCAATCCTGAATATTCATCAGAGGGACTGATGCTGAGGCAGAAGCTCCAATACTTTGGCCTCTTGATGCAAAGAGCCAGCTCATTGGAATAGACCCTGATGCTGAGAAGGATTGAAGGCAGGAGGAGAAGCGGATGACGGGGAACACGATGGTTGGCTGGGATCACTGACTCAGTGGATGTGAGTTTGATCAGGCTCCGGGAGACGGTGAAGGACAGGGAAGCCGGCATGCTGCTGTCCAGGGGTCGCAAAGAGTCGGACACGACTGGGCGCCTGAACGGCAGCACAGACTGTTCATGGGCACACGGGACATCCTCCAGCAAAGGTTACAGGTTAGGCTGCAAAATAGTCATTACAATTTCAAGAAGGCTGATTTCACATCATACATCTTTTCCAGGCACAGTGGTATGAATCCGTTAACAGGTGGAAACTTGGAAAATTTGCAGTACATGAAAATTAAACAACATACTGCTAAACAACCAATGGGTTAAAGAAGAAATCAAACAGAAATCAAAAATATCTTGAGACAAACAGTGGAAATATAGCATACAAATACTTATGGGATGCAGCAAACACACTTCTAAAAGGAAAATTCATAGCTATATGAATGTTAAGAAAAAAGAATGATCTCAAATAAATAACATAACTTCACATTTCAAGAAACTAGAAAAAGAAGACCAAATTAAGCCCAAAGTTAATAGAAGGAAGAAAATAATAAAAGACTTGAGCAGAAATAAGTGAAATGGACAATAGAAAAACAGTAGAAAAGATCCATGAAATTAAGAGTTTGTTTTTGAAAGACAACCAAAATTACCAAACTTTAACCTAAACTAAGAAAAACAGGGATCATCCAAATAAATAAAATGATAAAATAAAAAGAAGACATTACAACTGACACCACTGTTGTCAGATGGATTGTAAGAGATTGCTATAAACAATTATACAGCAACAAATCAGATAATCTAGAAGAAATGTTTAAATTCCTAGAAATGTGCAACCTACACACATTGAATTATGAAGAAATAGAAAATCTGAACAGGCCAATAACAAGTAAAGAGATTGAACTAGTAATCAGAAACCTCTCAACCTCCCAGTAGAAACCAGACAGCCTTGCTGGTGAATTGTATCAAACATTTAAAGAAGAATGAAATTTCACAATTTGTATGGAAATACAAAAAAAAACCTCGAATAGCCAAAGTAACCTTGAGAAAGAAGAATGGAACTGGAGGAATCAACCTGCCTGACTTAAGACTATACTACAATGCCACAGTCATCAAGACAGTATGGTACTGGCACAAAGACAGAAATATAGATCAATGGAACAGAATAGAAAGCCCAGAGATAAATCCAGGAACCTATGG